CCCTGCAGGACGGCTCAGTGGTTAGCACTGCTGCCTCACAGTGCCAGGGACCCAGGTTTGATTCCACCTTCGGGCGACTGTCTGTGTGGAGTTTACACGTTCTCCCCGTGTTTGCGTGGGTTTCCACCAGGTGCTCTGGTTTCCTCTCAGAGTTCGAAGATGTGCTGCTTAGATAGGTTGGTCATACTATTGTGCCCAGGGATGTGCAGGCTAGGTTGGTTAGCCATGGGGAATGCAGGGTTACAAGGATCGAGTTAGGGGGGTGGATCTGGGTGAGATGATCTTCCGAGGGTCGGTGTGAAATCGATGGGCCAAATGGCCTGCCCCCACACTGTAGGGATTCTATGATAACAGACTGAATAGTTTTCTTGGAACAATCAATGATAATTTCAAGGCAATTATCATGGAGACTAATTTTCAAAATCCGGATTCTCTTAATTGAAGTTAAATTCCATCAGCTGCTAATTGGGAGTTGAACCTGTGACCTTTGAGGATTATCCTAGGCCTGTGGATTACTGGACATTTACACAGAGGTACCTTGCATCTCTAGACCGCTCCACCCACGCTAGAATCTGAGCAGGAAGCTGTGTAGAGTATTTATCGATCACTGTTTTGTACAATTCATAACAAATGGATTTGTGGCAAACCTTACAGCAGGCAGTCTATTAAAACAAGAGCTACAATGAACAGAGCTTCTGACCAAACTAACCACAGAGTCTGGCAATAAAACATAGAAACATAAGAAATAGGAACAAGATGTGCTACTTGACCCCTTGAGTCTGCTTTCCCTATTCAATAAGATCTGATCTGATCAACTCCACATTCCTGCCTATTAGTAATACAGCATGGAAACAGGCCCTTCAGCCCAAACTGGTCCATGCTGACCATGGTGCCCACTCAGTTCCAATTGCCTGCATTTGGTCCATATCCATCTAAAGCCCTCCCACCCATGTATCTATCCAAATGTTTTTTAAATGTTGTTATTGTACCTGCCTCAACCACTTTCTCCGGCAGCCCATTCCATATACACACCACTCTCTGTGTGAAGAAGTTGCTCCTCAGGTCCTCCTTAAATCTATCCCCTCTCACTTTAAACCTATGCCCTCTACTTTTAAACTCCCCATCCCTGGGAAAAAGACAATATGCATTCATCCTATCCGTGACCCTTGTGATTTTATACACCTCAATAAGATCACCCCATATTCTCCTACATTCCAAGGAATAAAATCCTATCCTGGCCAACCTCTCCCTATAACTCAGGCCTACTAGTCCTGGCAACATCCTCATAGATCTTCTTTGCACACCTTCCAGTTGAACTATGTCTTTCCTATAACAGGGTGACCAAAACTGCACAAAATACTCCAAGTGCGGCCTCACCAACGACTTATACAACTGTAACATAACGTCCCAACTCCTATACTCAATGCCTCAACCAATAAAGGCCAGCATGCTAAAAGCCTTCTTCACCACCCTGTCCACCTGTGAGGCCGCTTTCAACAAACTACATACTTATACTCCTAGGTCCCTCAGTTCCACAACACTGTTCAGGACTTTACCATTTACTGTACAAGTCCTACCTTGGTTTGACTTACCAAAGCGCAACACCTCATACTTACCTATATTAAATTGCATTTGTCAATTCTCAGTCCACTTCCCCATCTGATCAAGATCCCTCTGTAATTTTTGATAACCTTCGCCATCAACGGTACCTCCTAATTTTGTATCATCAGCAAACTTACTAATCATGCCTCGTACATTCACATCCAGATCATTTATATAAATAGCAAATAACAAAGGTCCCAGCACAGACCCCTGTGGTACATCACTAGTCACAGGTGTCCAGTCCGAGAAACAACCTTCAACCATCACACTCTGCTTCCTACCATCGAGCCAATTTTGGAGCCAATTAGCTAGCTCTCCCTGGATTCCATACAACCTCACCTTCATGAGTAGCCTGCCATGCGGGACCTTGTCAAAGGCCTTACTAAAGTCCCTATAGACCTCATCCATCCTCTTGGTTACCTCTTTGAAAAACTCTAAAAGATTTGTCAGACATGACAAATCCATTTCAGCCAAATCCATGCTGACTATCCCTAAGCAGACCTTGACTGTCCAAATGTTGGTTGATCCTGTCCCTCAGAATCGCCTCCAATAACTTGCCTACCGCTGATGTCAGGATCACTGGCCTGTAGTTCCCTGGCTCATCTTTCTTAAACAATGGAACAACATCAGCCACCCTCCAGTCTTTGGGAACTTCACCAGTGGCTGAAGACGAAACAAAAATCTCTACAAGGGCCTCTGCAATTTCTTCCCAGCCTCCCACAATGTCTGAGGATGGATTTAATCAGGCCCAGGGGATTTATCCATCTTAATGTGCTTTAAGGCTGCAAACACCTCCTCTCGGGTAATATGTATGTGGCCCAAGCATCCCCACTTGTTTCCCTAATTTCCTTAGCATCCATGATTCTCTCATCAGTAAACATTGAGGAGAAATATTCATTAAAAATCTCCCCATCTCATGTGACTCCACACATAGACTGCCACGCTGATCTTTAAGCAGACCTATTCTCTCCCTAGCCACCCTCTTTCTTTTACTATAGCTATGGAACCTTTTGGGATTATCTGTAACCTTATCTGCCAGATCCATCTCACACCCTCTTTTTGCTCTTCTGATTTCCCTGTTAGGTGTGTTCCTACTCTTTTTATAGTCATCTAAGAATTCACTTATGCCCAATAGCTTAAACCCAATGTATGCCTCCTTCTTTTTCCTAACCAGAGCCTCAATATCCCTCGATAGCCAGGGATCCCTAAACCTGCCAGTTTTTCCCTTCACCTAAACAGGGTGATACTGTCCCTGGACTCTTGATATTACACTTTTAAAGCCTCCCAATTGCCACTAGTTCCTTTTCCTTCAAACAGACTCACCCAATCGACCTCTGCTAGATCCTGCCTAATGGCCCCAAAATTGTCCCTGCTCCAGTTTAGCACCTTAACCTGTAGACCTGCCCTATCATTTTCCATAATGATGTTAAAAGTAAGAGAGTTTTATGGTCACAGGACCAAAGTGCTCTCCAACTGACATTTCAGTCACTAGCCCAACCTTGTTTCCTAAGAGGACGTCCAGTGTTGCACCCTCCTGAGTAGGGCTCTCTACATATTGATTTAGGAAACTTTCTTGGACACGTTCGACAAATTCCACCCCACCCGGGCTTTCACACTGTGGGTGGCTCAGTCAATACAGGGGAAATTAAAATCACCAACCAGTACTACTCTATCATTCCTACAGGTATCCGTAATCTCTCTACACATCTGCTCTTCTAGTACCCGCTGGCTATTTGGGTGTCAATAATACAGTCTCAACAGTGTGATCATCCCCTTCTGGTTTCTTAGTTCTAACCACATGGCCTCATTTGATGACCCCTGAAGAATATCCTCTCTAAGCACTGTTGTTATGTCCTCCTTTATCAACATCCCCTCCTCACTTACTTGTACTTCTGTCATGCCTGTAGCTTCTGTATTGGAAACACTGAGCTGCTAGTCCTGCTCTTCTCTCAGACGGGTTTCTTCAATAATCTTGCTGACCCTCTATTTTTATTTTGACGGCCAGTCTGCCCAGTCTCCACCAGTTTTACTGGTTTTGTTTCTTCTGGATGGATCCCTTGTTAGTTAAGAATCTGTCCGCTTCCAACTTAGAAATATTCAGAGCCCTCCCTTCCATCGCTGCCTGGGGAAGGGAGTCCCAAAGACTCATGACCCTCAGAGGGAGAAAAGAAAATTCTCCTCATTTTAAACAGGTGACCCTGTGTTTTAGAGTGGTACCCCTCAGCCCCTCATCCCTCACACAAGGGAGTTGGGGGTGGAAACACCTTTTGAGCAACCGCTCTGCCAAATCCCAGCCAACCGTCATGAACGGGCACAAAGTCAATCCCAGAGATTGGACCTTGGTCTCGAGGTGGGATTCGGAGTGAGATCTGCATTCTTGTTGTTGTCTAGACAGATTAGATACAGTTCTTTTTCCCCGTCACCCTCCAGTGTGAGGGCGGTTCGATCTGCTGTGCGATGTGTGTGTAACCTTGCATTTCACTTTCTGCGTTTCAGCAACTACCAGAAGGATTGTGATTCAGTTCAGATAGTAGTAATCTGAAACCACCCATCCTAGAGTGCATGATAGTTATTAGCAAGTATTTGGATAATTCTGTTGCGAGAAATGTTTTTACAATGTGATAAAAATCACCTGTTTTGATTGTTTATTTCAGATGACAAACGAAGCATTGCAGAATTACTTTATTTAATCTGTTCATGATTGCACTGAGACAGTAGGACACTTTTTGGAAGCACGTGATGACATTAGATAGTTGAGAGGGAAGGGTGCAGAATGGCCACACACACAAACATGGCAGCAGGGGCCTAGCAGCTGCGAATGGCCAGCCCCGTCTTCACATTGCACCATTTCAGCGTGAGTTTCCATTGGCCAGGTCTTCATTCCCGACACTTGGTCGGGTTTGATGGTCTGGACAGATCTGACGTTGCCAGTGTGCACTGTAACGGTGTGTATTTTACACCCAGTCATAGAACATAGAACAGTACAGCACAGTACAGGCCCTTTGGCCCATGATGTTGTGCTGACCTATTATCCTACTGAGATCAATAGTCCTCCAGCCACTGCCCTGGTGTGATTCAGAGACTGACTGAAGTCAGTAGTCCAACCCAGCTAGCTGACCAGGATTCGACACTCTCGTGAATATCTTCAAATCCTGATCTTTATGGTTGCTACTGGCTCGTTCACCCAGGCACGCTCACACAATTACTGTGTCAGAGGGCAGGGACTGGCCCAGATATTGGGCTCACTGTGGAGCTGTGTCTCATTCAGGTTTGTCTCTGTGTGTGCTGTTTGAGGGTCATCGTCTTAACGAATGGTTTTATTCACCCCCATCTTCCCCTCCTGCTCCCACAATCCGAACTCTCTCTCTCTCCCCCCCCCACCCCCTCTCTATTTACAGGCGGAACAAGAGTTACGACTGGCTCAGACAGGGTTTGATCATCAGGCAGAGGTTACCAGATTACTGCTGGAGGGTATCAGCAGTACTCATGTAAGTGTCACGTCACTTCTACCATCTGTGTATTTTTTATAACGTGTTTGCACCGTTCCTGCAACCAAATTCTGGCTTGGCCCAATGAGGTGGTGGTGTTGTGGTTATGACACTGGGTCTAATAGAGTCATACAGCACAGAAACAGACCCTTCGGCCCAACTCGTCCACGCTGACCAGGTTTCCTAACCTTAGTCCCATTTGCTTGCATTTGGCCCATATCCCTGTAAACCCTCTCCTATCCATGTACCTGTCCGAATGTCTTTTGAATGTTGTAACTGTGCCCGCCCTCACCACTTTCTCTGGCAGCTCATTCCACACACACACTACACTGTGTGTGAAAAAGTTGCCCCTTTTAAATCTTTCCCCTCTTACATTAAACCTGTGCCCTCTGGTTCAGGACTGCCTTACCCTGGGCAAACAAAAAGACATTTGCTATTCACTCTATCCATGCCCCTCACGATTTTATAAACCTCTATACAGTCAGCCTTCAGCCTCCGACACTCCAGGAAAGAAAAGGCACAACCCACCCAGCCTCAGTAACAAACTTGTAAATCTTGTTTGCACATATTCCAGAACTTTCCAGAATTTTAGTTATGAAGAAAAATTGGATAAGCTGGGTTTGTTTTTCACTGGAACACAGGCGATTGAGGGGCGACCTGATAGAAGTTGAAAAGATTATGAATGGCATGAATAGAGTGGAAAGTATGAGGTTTTTTTCTCAGGGTGGAGAGGTCAATTACTAGGGGACACAGGTTCAAGGTGCGAGGGAAGAAGTGTAAAAGAGATGTGCGAGGCACTTGTTCCACACAAAGGGTGGTGAGTGCCTGGAACGCACTGCCAGAGGAGCTGGTGGAAGCAGGCACAATACAAGAAACACCGGGAGGAATACATCTATAGGAAGGGAATAGAGGGATACGGATCCTGTAAGTGAAGACAGTTTTAGTATGGAAGGGCAGAATGTGTCGGCACAGGTTTAGAGGGCTGAAGGGCCTGTTCCTGTGTTGTATTATTTGTTCTAGATGCTCCCAGACCAGCTGAACGTTTCCAGCAATTCATTTTTGTTAATGTTTCGGGTCCAGTTGTGAAGAAGGGCCGCTGAACTTGAAACATTAATTTTGCTTTCTCTCACTGAATGCTGCCAGACCCTGCAGAGTTTCTCCAGCAATTGCTGCTTTTGTTTTAAATCTGTGTCTCTCCTGTCAGTTCTCCCTGTCTTTCATTTCTCTTGCCTACACCCTGAACCAAATACCTTGTATAATTTTAAATGCTCCTATCAAATCTCCCCTTAACCTAAAATAAACACTGGAAGTACTAGGGATGAAAAAAAAATCAGCACGTTAGAGGTAGCATCTGAGGAGGGAGAGAAACAGGGGTAACATTTCAAGTCTGTGATCTCCCGTCAGAATTGGGGAACGCTAGAGATGGAATCAGTTTTGAGCAAGAGCTGGGGCCAATAAAGGCAGAAGGAAGGTCTGGGACAGAGTGGAAGACGGGACAGACTGTATAATGGAATTGTTCATTCTCCTGAGGATGAAAAGAAATGGCAATAGAAATACCTAGGTTTTTTTTTCAATTCGTGGGGTGAGGATGTTGCTGGCTCGGACAGCATTTATTCCCCACCCCAGAGGCTAGTTAAGAGTCAACCACATTGCTGTGGATCTGGAGTCAGATGTAGGCCAGACCAAGTAAGGATAGCAGTTTCCTTCCCTGAAGGTCATTAGGGAATCAGATGGAATTTTCCAACAATCAGCAATTGTCTCACGAGACTCTTAATTCCAGATTTTTATTGCATTCAAATTCTACCTTCGAACCCGGTCCCCAGAACATTAGTTGGGTCTCTGGATTCACAGTCCAGCGATAATCCCACTAGGCCATCGTATAATCATAGGCTGGATTGAAAGTAGTACAGGCTTCACCTGGAGGGAGAATTTGGGGCCTTGGGATGGTGAAGAGGTTAAAGGGCAGCTGTTACGTCTCCAGCATTTTGTGTGGGAAAGTGATGAGGCTTTGCAGGTGACAGAGAAGTTGGTCAGGCTTTCTACCTCAGTAACATGGAATTTACTAAGTTAAGATTGATCTGATCAAAGCCTGCAGGAAACAACAGGGTAGGTAAAGATAAACTATTTTCACTGGTTGGAGATTCTAGAACCAAGGGACATAGTCTGAGAATCAGGGCCAGAGATGTTAGGAAGCATTTCCACACACACAGGGTGGGAGAGGTTCGGAACCCTCTCCAACAGACAGCAGTTAATTTTAGATCTGAGATAGACACATTTTTGTTAAGCAAAGGTAATGAGGGATATGGACCAAAGGCAGGTACAAGGAGCTAGGTCACGGATCAACCACTGAAGGGCAGAACAGGCTTGAGGGGCTGAATGGCCCACTCCTGTTCCTCACCTGCTCCACAGCCGTTGGAGGTCCCCACACCCCCCTCCAATTCTGGCCTTTTGCACACCTCCGGTGGGAATCTCTCAACTGTTGGTGGTTGTGTTCTTCCTCCTTGCAGCCTTGAGCTTGGGATATCCCTCCCTGAAGCTGTCTGCCTCTCTGCATCACCCTCCTGCTCTGAGACATTCCTTCAAACCGAGTTTCAGTAATCTGACCTAATTACGTGGCCTCATTTTGTTCCATGTAATGCTCCTGCAACGTAACTTCTGATGTTGTATTATGTCAAAGGCGCTACGTAAGTTGTTGCTATGTTTATTCCATGAGGTGAAGGGCAAAGAGAGCAGTGAGGCAGACCTGCTTGGCTGGAGAGTTTTCTGTTTATTTGAAGAATTCTGAGTTTCTGATTGTAGTTTTAAAAACCGTTGTTTCTCACAGACTAACCACCTTCGCTGCCTGCATGAATTTGTCGAGGCACAAGCCACCTATTATGCCCAGTGTTACCAGTATACCCTGGACCTGCAGAAACTGTTGGGCAGGTAAGGAGCTCCCAAAAGTTTCAGAAATTTACAGCATGGTTTACACGGAAATGTAGGGGAAGGTGTTCACAAAGGGTTAGTACCCAGATCCTCACCAACGGTCCTCAGACAGCACCTTCCAAACCCACTACCATCCAGAAGGACAAGGGTAGCAGATACATGGGAACACCATCCCCTGCAAGTTCCCCTCCGAGCCACTCCCCATCCTGACTTGGAAATATATCCCCATTCCTTCACTGTCACTGGGTCAAAATCCTGGAATTCCCTCCCTAATGACATTGGGGATGTACCCACAGCACATGGACTACAGTGGTTTAAAAAGGCAGCTCACCACCACCTTCTCAAGGGGCAACTAGGGACGGGCAATAAATGCTGGGCCCAGCCAGGGATACCCTTGACCCCTGAATATAGTTTTAAAAACCCTCATTGGGGAAGGACTTTGGGAACCTTAGGTTTAAATTCTTACTACACTCTCACATGTTACTTTGCAAATCACTGTCATATTATGTCCCAGAGTGTTTATCCTAGAAAAACAATTCCACCTGCATACTGTGAAGATTAAAGCCTTAGATTCCTCACTCTAAACCAGCCACTGACCCTCATCCCTCTCCCTGGTATCTGTATCTGGTGGACCAGGCTGGTTGTAACTTGGATGTCACCTTTGATCCTGAGCTAAGTTTCCAGTTGTCTGCACCATCACTGAAACCACCTATTGCCCCCGTCTGTAAACTCACCAGATACCAGCCTGCCACAACTCCCCCTCCTGCTGAATCTTCCACCCCATAGCCCTCAGACCTGACTGTCCCAACCCAGTCCTGGCACGTCGCCCTCATCAAACACAAATTCCAAAGCCCTGTCCATCACCATGTGACCGGGCGAGAAACCCCACTGCTGATAAACCTGATGGAACAGTCAAACGGTGACCACCAACCCCTTCTGTCTCTCTGTCTTTCACCTAGAGTCATACAGCACAGAAACAGACCCTTCGGTCCCACTAGTCCATGCCGACCAGACATCCCAATCTGACCTAGTCCCATTTGCCAGCATTTGGCCCATATCCCTCTAAACTCTTCCTATTCATGTACCCATCCAGATGCCTTTTAAATGTTGTAATTGTACCAGCTCCACCACTTCCTCTGGCAGCTTGTTCCATACAAACACCGCCGTCTGCGTGAAAAAGTTTCCTTTGAGTCCCTTTTAAATCTTTCCCCTCTCACCTTAAACCCATGCCCCTCTAGTTTTGGACTCCGCCCCCACCCTGGGGAAAAGATCTTGGCTATTCACTCTATCTATGCCCCTCATGATTTTATAAACCTCTATAAGGTCACCCCTCAGCCTCCGACGCTCCAGGGAAAATAGCCCCAGCCTATTCAGCCTCTCCCTAAAGCTCAAACCCTCTCTCAGCTCCTCTTTTATTCTCTTCCCTCTTTCTTTCTGTCTCTCTTGCAGCTTTTTCACTGTACCCCTTTCTCTGTCACTCGCTCCCTCCCTCCCACTCCCCTCCCCCTCTCCCCCTCCCCCCCCCCCCCCCCCCCACACCCCCAATATCTCCGTCCCTGTTATTTTCTCTGAGTGTCTGTGTAATTTCAGCTGATAAGAGCGATTGCAAAGAGACTGGATAAATCTGATGATAACCAGGAATCCTTTGTGACTCAGAGCCAGTGAAATGGGTTAGGGAGAGAAACCACTGAGGGTGAGGGAGGGGTTACTGAGCCAGATCAGATCCCAACGTTTACATCTCACAGGGTGGGCCTGGAGCTCACAGTATCCTCTCAGAGTTGGAGGGGCTTTGGGAGAGGGGAAAGTTTGACCCTTACTAACTTCTCTGCAATTTTAATTTCACGCTTCCAGCTCCAACAGAGAAATGTAAGTACAGATCTGGGTTTGTGATTTTTTTATTATTATTATTATTATTCATTCACGGATTGAGTGCGTTGCTGGCTAAGCCAGGATTCATTGCCCATCCCAGTTAAAAGTTAACCACATTGCTGTGGGTCTGGAGTCACATGTAGGCCAGACCAGGTAAGGATGGCAGTTTCCTTCCCTGAAGGGCATTAGTGACCCAGATGGGTTTTTCCAGCAATCAACAATGGTCTCTTCATCATCTTACTTCCAGACTTTTTTATTGAAAATTTAAAAAATGGTGGGATTTGAACTCTGTTCCCCAGGACATTCCTTAGGACTCAGGATTAACAGTGATAATACCACTAGGCCTTTGCCTGCCCAGTGCTAGGGGCGTGCTGTAAATTCCTCTGACTTTGAAAGCTCCTGTTCATGGTTTTAAAATGAGACCCCTAATGTCTGACATGATCCCTCCACCCGTCCCACACTCCAGCATTTCTAGGACAAGGTTAACCCTCGTCACTCCCATCAGGAGGTTCACCCTGAGCTCAATCTTTGAGTCTGGTTTTGCTGCTGCATCATTTTGTATTCACTTGAGAAAAGGTTATTCTTCCTGAACAATGACTAGATGTATCCACCTGTTATTGTCTTCATAACAACACAATATTTTACAAATATTCCCCACAACCCATACCTAACACTGTCCAAGCTGTGTCACAGGATGCCAGGAACCGAAAGCAAGTCATCTTGAAGTTCCACCTCCTCGTAGAGAGGGAAAGGAAAAGGGCCTTGCATTTATATAGCACCTTTCCCGGCCTTGATATGACCCAACGTGCTTCACGGCCAGTGACGTATTTTCAAAGCAGTTGGTGTTGTAATGCTTGAATCACTGCAGCCAATTAGTGCAGAGCAGGATCCCACAGGTTTTTATACAGCAACGGGCAGATGATTTTTTTTTTTGTGGCATTTGTGACTGGGAGTTCAGTATGGTCCCCAGGACGCTGTGTAAATCTTCTTGGACCCTCTTTCAAACAACACATTCGGGGGATTTGTCATTATCACCTGGGGAGGCCGCATGGAGACATGCTCTAACAATAACTCCAAAGCATGGCAAATCCGACAGTGCGGCGCTCCCTCAGCACTGACCCTCCGACAGTGCGGAGCTCCCTCAGCACTGACCCTCCGACAGTGCGGCGCTCCCTCAGCACT